TCAAAACCCATTAGGTTTACAGTAATATGAAAAAAAATTTAGTTTATACAGAAATAGTATCTAAAATGATCTCAATTTCCAAAGTTAAAGCAAAAGATCTAATCTAAACACACAATATTAGGCAGGATTTATTTGTTTGGAAAAGAACCCAGTCTTTTGTGAAATTTAGAGGGTATCTTTGAATATTTTATCATTGAATGTTAATTCTTGCAAAAAGTAAAATGTAAATGGCAATTTGTTTGATGTTAGATTCCTTTTAATAACTAAATTATTTAAGATAAAAAAATGCATATTGAATCAAGAAAATCAGTTTTAATACAGAATTTGATTATTGGGGCCATTTTTACCTACCTGTCATATGGGGGCCATTTTTACCGGGGCCATTTTTTCCGGGGCCTTTATTTCCGGGGCCATTTCTTCCGGGGCCATTTTTTCCGGGGCCATTTTTTCCGGGGCCATTCTTACCGTACACCGTTATAAACAATGCAAATAAACAGTAGTTAAAGCATGTGGATCAATTGTGTGTTTGAATCACAAGTTCATGTATGGGAAAAGGGAGAGGCTTACTTTCTCACAAACTTAGCAATAAATTGTCTGCTTAGAGTTTATTCAAAGAAGTATTGCTTTTAGTAAACTGAATAATTAGGAATACATTTATTTAAGTAACTAATTTAGTTGCATACTTGGTTTTTACTCATCACTAACTAAATCCAAGTGCCTACTACTGGCTTAGAATTATATATACAGTAGTTATGTATGGCAATTATGCTAAGAATTAAAATGGCATGTGATTGTGAGGGTAGGGTGATTATGGTAGGATTAAGTGGTAAATCCCACAAACCTCCCAAAACACACTGTAGAAAATCAAACAATTCAATTGTGATTGACTGACTTGGTATATCAATAAGAAAATTAAATACATTCATAACTATTTTTTAGTTAAAATTTAGATTTTGTTATAAAAAAATACTTGCAAATACAACACAAACATCTAAACACACTGCAAACCCCATCTAAACCATAAAATTATGATTGTAGAACTCTCTTTTTCTTAAAAAAAATAATAATAATTTTATGTTCATACTAACCCACTGTTTGTGGGGTTTACCAATACACAGATTGAATTTCTGGAAAATTGTGATTCCTCTACCGTGAAATCGGCCACAAGTAAATTATTTTAGTATTAATAAACGCATGATTTATGTTGATTTATTGATTTTGTTGTTGCTATTTTTTTAAATTTAAATGGAAAAAAAAATAAAAGTGTAATTAATGGCTTTTTATTTATCTTTGAATATTTTATCATTCAATATTAATTCTTGCAAAAAGTAAAATGTAAATGGCAATTTGTTTGATGTTATATTCCTTTTAAAAACTAAATTATTTAAGATACAAAAATGCATATATTGACTCAAGAAAATCAGTTTTAATACAGAATTTGATTATTGGGGCCATTTTTACCTACATGTCATATGGGGCCATTTTTACCGGGGCCATTTTTTCTGGGGCAATTTTTTCCAGGGCCATTTTTTCCGGGGCCATTTTTTCTGGGGCCATTCTTACCGTACACCAGGTGGAGTATGTAGGCGATGTAAATTAAAGAATTTGTGAAATCAAGCTTCTACTGCTTGAAAGGTAATCAGACATAAACCACCCAGGACATAAACCACCCGGACGAAAACCACCCAAACTGGAATATACCATTGTGAAAGTAGGGTGGGCAGTGGGGTGGACAATGCTGGGTGTTTTTATCACCTTGACAAGGATAGATTACACTGACTGACCTTTAATTCATTCAACTCTTTTGACAACATCACTTTTTACATTTAAATTATTATTATTAAAGTGAAATATCTAATTGAAAATTATTTTTAAGGGAGTAGGGATGGTAAGGGATAGGTCCTTATAGAAATTTATATAAATTTAGAATAATAAAATATTAGACAAATACTATAAAGATAAAAACATTAATGTATTAAAACTTTACTACAAATTTTACATTTTAATTTCCATAAAGCTTTGAAGTTAATTGTTGTGTTAAAATCATTAAAAAAATACAAACTTTAAGCACACTGATTACTGAGATCTACAATGATTATTAACACACATGCATGTTGTCAAAAGAGTTGAATGAATTGAAGGCGTATAATAGGTCACAGTCACAGTGTAATCTATCCTATTGTGAAGGTGATAAAAACAGGTCCACCCATCATTTTCCACCCGACTGCCCACCCTACTGTCACAATTGTATATTCCAGTTTGGGCGGTTTTCGTCCGGGTGGTTATTGTCCTGGGTGGTTTATGTCCTACTGAAAACCTCAATTAAAACAATCTATGAACAGAAACAGACAACAAAATGTAGCAGTATACACCTCTGGCTTGTACATAAATATTTTCCTCAAAGAGCATGTCATCTGACCCTGTACAAAGTTTATATCCCATAACCATTCACTTTAAAAATAAATCTGCCTCTGGTTCAGTATGATTTTATGGATTTATGAACAAAAAAATTGCAATATATGGCTCTAAAAAGAATATAAATAAAACTGACAGGTTCAATATTCTTTATCAAGTTGTCTTTGTACTTCTTATTCCTAATTTTATATTTAATGTCTGTTCTCGGAACATAACAAAACAAGTATCAATATAGCTATAATGAAATTGAAACAAAATGAAAACATGTGATGTATTGCCTTCCTTGTGAAATGAAAATAGAAACCAAAATCATATAGCAAGTAAACAGTGCAATAAAAAATGCTAACCAAATGTTGTTAATGATACCACAAAATTATTCCTTATTCTATTCTATTCCATACATCTCTATGTAGTCTTAACTGGTGCCATGCTCTTTACAGGGGATTACTGAAGGGAATTGTTTTTTTACTATTATGAAAATTGCTTTATTATTATTGTTATAATTTTCATGCATTAAAATTGTAGCAACAAAATTTCTGTTAAATTACTTTTCTTCACTTTATTTTTACCATTTTTAATCTTATTGCCTTTTACGTCAACCTTGCTGCTATCTGAAAATTTCAATAAAATATTTTTAAATATTTCATTTTGGCAATTTCTTCATATAAATTATTTCCTGTTGGGACTCCTGTTTGTTTTAACATTTATACCAGTCTACGACAGGAAAGAATAATGTACCCTATAATTCTCCATGTTGTAGCAATAGTTTGGTTTTACAGGGTATGCCCGAGATTAATTGGTTTTTGAGCTAAGCGGAGCCAAGTTCTGCGCGAACATGTAGACCACCTATTCTATAAGTAAGAACCCTATGTAAATTTTTACTGTTCTCGTCCAAACGAACCCTTGGTGCATATTAACATTCTGCCCGCTAAACACGGAGATCACCGTGTTAACGGTTGACCGCCAAACACAAAGACACAAAGGTTTTTTTTATGGACTCCGATAGATGGGGTAATTACCAACATGTAATAACAATTTGGACACTGTATTAAGTCTGGACCATAAATATTATTTCACTATTTGTTTGTTTACATTAGCGTAGAGCAGTATTGATTTACATTTACAAAATCGCGATTATCTCAGCTTCATTGTGCGAAATTGCGTAAATCTCCAAAAGTGAGTCACTTTCATTTTACTGTTACGGGTCACAGATTGTGATTAGAATGAAGAGTTTGGTAAAGCTAAAATCCTTGTAGTCCTTGTAGTATTCACTACATGTCAATCTGATCACATACGCACACTTAACAAGCTTCGGAAATATGTTAAATTTTAAAATTTGCTGAAAGTCTGGCTGTGACTGATACTATTTTTTCAAACCCCTGGCGGTTAGAGTGCTGGCCATGGCCGCACAGCATGTAACACAAGACAAACAGGAATTATACCTCCATGATGAAACCAACACCTGCTTGTGATTGTGGGGGCAGCCAAACACATTGTGGAAGAGTGCCCAAGGAAAAAACTTGATGGTGGAATTACTCCTCTGCCATACTGTGACCTTACAGCGAGTTCGTGGTTATTTGACATTTTTATGCTATTCATTGCTTAGGTGGCTGCAATATTCATTGAGGACATGAAATACCCAGTGGCAGATCCAGGAATTTAAAAAAGAGGGGCCGCACTAGGGACATTTACAGATGGAAGGTGTAGACCACCTCAGGCCCACTATGGTTGGGGCTGAAGTATAAAATTTTATGGCTACGGTACCTCTAGATGGTCAGAAATGGCACTGTCAGACTTAAATTTTGATACTTTTCAAAATTCAGGAGGAGCCCCCCCCCCCCTTCAACAACCCTTTGAAATTGCCAATGATTTCTTTTTCTGCCTATATGTATTTTTTTTTAATAACAGTTTTACTACACATTCTGGTTGTGATGTGCAATTCATGGTGCCACTAGGTCTGTGAGTGTATAATTATGTTACTATGTTTTTAAAGTACCTGCTTACTTGCAGTAGCCAATAAGCCAATCAATTCTTTAGGATAAATAATGATTACAAGAATGCTCCTCCCTGGTAATCTGCATGGTCATAATAAATTAGTGATAAGCATTGCTTTGGATTGTCCACTAGCATAGGATGCTGCATATAGCATTCCCAAATGAAGTTCATTGGTTGTGGTTCTGTGATGTCATAACCCATGTGATGCAGTGGTGGACCATCAAGTTATGCTATGCATACCCATGGAGGAATACCTTTGTCTGAAGGAGGACACCAATTTGCATTCTGTAATGCCTCATTGCTTGGTGTGTCCCACTTCAGACCACACACAACAAATTGGGAAGCTCTATTTTGAATAGTCTGTATCCTTTTTAGGGAAGTTTGGTTAATGTTTCCCCAGACTACATTACAGTAAGTGAAACAAAATATGTAAAACAGGTTTCAATATCCAAATGATATTAACCCATACATATGTTCAAAATCATTTTGGTCTACACAAATATAATTTATAGAGTATAATGCAGAGCTAATCAAAACATGCACATAAAGCAAATTTAAACCCTTGAAATAACCTGCCCTTCATGCTAATTTGTGAATACCAGTATGTGAACCTGTACATACACACATAAATGTTTTATTTGTGATCCATTCTTCAGTTCCGAGACTACAACGTATAAAGATTTTGGCCACAAGAATAAAGCATACATACTTGTACACAATTAAATATATCATCTGTTTCTCTCTTCTGGTGTTCAAATTTTTAATTCATTATTTAATTTATTTTGTTATTTATCTTTTTTTATATACTTTGAAGGTTATTGTATATAATCTTTATTTAGTTTTATCAGTTTTGAAATACAACTGGACCATATGTAAAACAGGGTTTAATATCCAACTAATACTAACCTCTATACATCCCAATATATTTTTTGCTAAACAAAGCAAACATTGAAATTATACAGTTATAGTGCTGATTTAATCAAAACATGCACATCAAGCAAATAGATGCAGTAAGTGTTCCATTCTCAATCATTTCCCCATCTTTGTATATTATTACAGAAGATGGTTCGGGATGACCCTTTGCAGTGCATGTTGCAATGCCAGCTTCTGATTCAAATGTAATTGTAAGATCTATTATAATTGAGAAAAAAATCAGGTTTGGTTAATATGGGAAACTTTTTTCAAGTTTTTTTTAATACATTATAAAAAATAACAAGCAACCTTTACCTGAAAATTTGTCCTTATTGCGATAGAGAGGAAACGTGATGAAGCCACACGTTCATTTGATACAGCAACATTTAATATGGTGTTGATACAATAACTGTACTCTAATAAATGGTAATGTGCCCATTGAGATGATCAGTGGACATGATACTTGTGCATCACAAATAAAACCACAATGAGTAAAAAACAATTAGCACCACACTTTCTTGAAAAAAAAAGGTGCTCATTAACTGATTATTTTTCAATACGCTTGAACAGAAAATTTAAATCACAGAAATTGAACAGATAAAAGAAAATATAAAAATTAAAATATACACATACATATTACTTTCAAGTCAATATGATTACTGGTTTTGCCATCTTTTCCTCTGAATTTATCACTTTCAGCTTTACACATATACCTGCCACCATCAGCTGCAGTTGCAGCTTTAATGTGTATTTCAAGAGCATCTTCACTTGTAGTAAATCTAGAGCTGTCTGTGATGCTGAGTGCTTGTCCATCTTTATACCATGTGATACTAGGGTGCGGGTCACCATCAGGTTTACTACAGGTCAAGGTCACTGATTCATCTTCATAGACACTGCTTGCTGAGGCAGACAGTACAGGCTCATCTAGGTCTGATAAAAATTATAGTACTCAAATAAATACTTAAAACAAATACTGTACAAGTATATAAGGTTACACTTAAATCATGATTCCGTGACTTAGTGATTTAATTGATATGAATTTAAAAACAAAAATAGATCTATCAAATGTATCACCTTGTTTACTATAATTTCCAATTTTACTGGTCCAAATTAACAATATGTTTTGATTATATCGGTGGATCCGTAGAGAATTTCAATTAACTTTAAAAATTTTTTTTTTTTTTTTCAAAAAACCAGCTTACAATTTTGTTGCTTTATGCTTTGTAAACTGTAACAAGAGTAATACTACTATAATACTGTCATTATCACAACAAAAATGTTACTTTACTACTGTAATATCCAACTGACTTCTACAAATCAGATTTTAACCAAAAATATCAATTTGCAAAATTTACTTATTTATTTATTTATTTATTTATTTACTGCAAAAGCGCAGCCGTGAAAATCACCCTATCTCTTAACGGGAGGTCAACTCGGCCCCAGTTTTTTTTAGTTCTATCAAAAGCATTCAAGAACAAAAACTGCCTGGGCTCAAAGCTGGCCAAAGGAATTGGCATATTCCATTTTCTGAACTGAAGAAATAATGTTACCTGCTGTATCAAAGCCTTGTTAAATTTCATTATATGAATATGCTTGAAATTGGACATATCATATTTCTACAGTATTATGCCTAAATTGGTAATGTATTTTATAGTGTTTCACTAATGATTGATCGTTTAAAAAAGTTCATTTTTATATACCCTTTTTGGATAATGAAATCGCCCAAACACTGCACTGTGCAGCATGCTCAATCTGTTCATATTTGTTTTTCTTCACATGCCCAGTATTAAAAATGTTTTGGGTTATGTGGTCATAAAATGGCCCAAACCAATTGATATAATTGATTTGATGACTTCAAATATGGAAACAACTGATTTATTTTCTACTATTGATGTGATAAATACATCTATTTTGAATCTACTTGGTATTCAGTTATTTTGCTCGATTACAGTACAATTTTAAAATTTGTGAACAACTTTTACAGAAATGTAATAAATACAGAATGTAAATGTTGAGATATAATCTGCAATACTTACAATATACACTGAGGATGGAAAGATCTGAATTTATGGACTCCCAGCTTGCTGTCAGTATCTGACATTGAAACCTTTTCTGAGTATCACTCCTAACTGGCTTTGTGATAACCAGGTCAGCATTCCCAGGAGTTGTTCTTAAGCTGTAACGTCCACTTACAGTGTCTTTATTATTTACAATAATAGCTTCTCCAGTGTAGTTTACTTCCTTCCATATAATAGCCAAAGGTGCATTAGTAACTTGTGAATAGTTGCACGGTATCACCACTACACCATCACCTTCTTTGGCCACTACATCAACTGTTACAATTAACTGGCTATATACTTTTTTTTTTTTTAAACACACACAAAAAAAAACTTTATTATAATTTTGTAATTGTAAGTAAGGATGAGACTTGCTACAGCACAATATGCTTAACTTTAAAAAAAAGAAGGAATTAGATTATTTTAAGAATATATACTGTACAGTAAATATCAAACATCAAGGTGGTTTTTTTTTGTGATTTAAAAATGTCAAAGTGTACTTCTTTAAAATTAATAAAGATTTAGTTATATTCCACATTGAGATGTATATTCTTATAATTTATGGAAATTTTGTCTTGGAAAAATTATGATCATCACAAATTTGAATTCTTATAATTATCTACTTGGTATGGATATATTTACTGACTTAAACACACAATTGCTCCAGTTGTATTACAAATAAAATATGTGACTCCAAAATTGACCAATGACCATGTCAATTTAAGGAGGCACCTTTATTCAATATCATAAAACTTTTACAAAACCTTGTTGGCCATAAAGGGCCTAGACTAAACATTAAAGTGAAAAGGCCATATAAAATAAGATGCTGGCAATATTTCATGTTCTTGTCATGAGTATGAATATTTGAGGAAATTTATTATTACACAACACATGATGATAGCGATAAAAGTAAGTATGACATGCAATCTCTACAGAGTTGACTCAACTTACCATTAGGTACACACAGCAACAGAAGTAAAATCAAATACAGTAGTAACAACTGGAATAAACAATGAATATAACCAAGAAATAATATAAAAAATTACACTACATTATTATTAATTAATATTTAAAGTTTCTTCATATTTTTATTCTTCTAAGTGTTTGATGTTTATTTTTAAGACTGTATTTTTTATGGCTTTGAACATGTATTGTGTTTTGTAAAATTGTTTTCCAACTTTCAAATCTTGCCGAGCAAGTTAACTTTCTGTATGACAATGTTCTTGAATCTTGAATCTTTAGAAAATTACATGTGACAATGTTTTAAGACAACTGTTTTGATATCTGTTTATTTCATAATGTATAGATAATTGACAGTTAAGTATTATTCTACATCTAGAATAATATTTTTTCAAATGTATTATTAAATAAGAAAAGACTTACAAATACAATATTTTTTGGTAACAGCCACATTGCCTTCCTGCAAAGTGAAAAATAATCAGGGTAGATGTAGTTATTAATAATAATACAATGGTGAAACCTAATGGTATGCTAGGTTAACACTCCCTAGACCCATGTAAATAATGGGATCATCCAACCATCCGAGGCCAAATTCTGACCCCACCCAAGTACAGTACCAGTGCAATAAGAGGGCTACCGCCGTGCTGCCTAGATCATCAAAGATGCCCGGACCAAACCTATTAACATTCCCCTGGCTGTTGATGATTGCCTTTTTACCTCATGGATTCTACCCCTGCCTACTTGACTGTTCCTTACCATATGTTGAAGATCAGGTAAGGCTGTTTTAGTTCCTATTTTAAGCTACACATCTGGAAGTATTTCACTAACAGTTGTGATTGCAGTGTTACAGTTACTAGTGCAGCCAGGTCTATAAGTGTGGACGCTTGATTTGCTTTGATAGGCCTAGTCCCTTCATTCATCTTGCATCTCCTGCTATGTGGAACTGTTTCAAAGCCCTTGTGGAATCTTCTTTAATTCATCAAAATGTCACCTTGCCACACATTGGCGGAATACCGTTCAGCAAACACCATCAGCGCTGATATGTCTAAATTACTGATTCTGTCCCAAATATACTCATCACCGATAATGCTGGATTTGAGTGGTGATATACACCAAACCAGGGAACAGTGCGTTCTAAGGCATGCAAGTGGAAGCAAGTGTGTGGCAGTTGTGAAACATGACTTCATTTAAAGTCCTGCATCAATATGAACTCTCAGATTGAACTTGGCAATAGCTCATGTAACTGTATATGTGAGAAACTGTGGTCAACCAACTGGGCTGCTGGGCCGCAGCTTAGTGCCTAGAATAGAATAGGCCGTGAAGTAAAAAGTTTGTAGAACGCTGGCATATACTTTTATAACCTATATAGTTGAATGGTAAAGTTAGTCCTAATACTGGAGTAGAAATTGTTTTAATTAAAATTTGTGTACTGCTATATCAATATATAATTTTTATTCAATCTGTATAAAGAATGCGATATTGTAATGTCCATTTTTATATTTTCACAAATTAACAAAACACATGACAATAACATTTAATTAAATAAAATAACAACAGGCCTTTGTGTGTATATGGTTGTTACAAACATTTAATTAATCTCATTGAACTCATTTGGTTTAATTTTATTCTTCCTTGGTTTAAGGATGATTTACAGGCATGAGGGAATTTTATAGTTTTTCAAGCTTTCAAAAATGCACTTGTCCTGAAAACAATTTTACTTGTCCCAATATTATTAATATTATATAGTATAATAATCATAAAAAAAACAAAAGTAAGTATTTTTCCTATGCATTGATCACGCAAAAATGTTTTTCTATTTTTAATCCAATTATAGTTCTTTATTTAATTTGATAGAATTTCAATAAAGTATGATATAGAGAAATTCAAATAAAATAAATATTATTAATAATATTCTATGTATGTAGGAGTGTGTTGATCGTTTTCCTATTGCGTGATTGAAAGCCGTCGTCACGACAACTGCAAGTAAAAATTTCTCAAGCATAGTTTATTCCCACGATACACTAGTTCTCAGCCGCTGACATGACGTTATTTGGAGAAGGGGGTCACCATATCGTATGTTTGCACTTGTAGTAGTATCTTAATCAATGAATAACTTCAAAATGTATTTCTTTTTGTGCAGGATACAAACAAAATTTAAATTGCACAGGAAAACCCCCAGAAAAATAGATGCGCAGAATCGTAAACACTTGTGTTCCTACTATGTATGAAGGCCTCAATTTTCTGCAAAAATATCTATGGAAATCGGCTCACATTTTCGAAATGCGGTAACGGATTTCTGGGCCCAATAATTTACGCTGGGGATAATTTACAGCCTCACACATCTTGATATTATTTATTACAAAATAAATAAAATTACTTACCTCTCAACGAAAGAAAGCACAGGCCTAATATAACTCTGAAGATGGGCCGAAGGGATGAATCCCTTCCTGAGAAGATGGCAAAATTTTTGGGACGGGAAAATGATTCATTTGGCCCTAAACCCTGAATTTTTTACTCTAGTTTTACAAGATTTGGATTTTATATGCACATTATCTCCATCACTTAGAAGTAACTAATTTTTTAAATTACTTTAAATCCCAATTTAACTACCCTTTCTTAGGCTGTCTAGATTGCTTTCCCCGCACGTGCAAACTAATTTTTTGAAGTCGGCCTAGTGGCTGCTGTTCAAATTCGTACTCGAAAGTAATTACTAGTCTTGAAGTCCAGACATGTCTGTCGTCCAACTCAACTAATCAACTAATGGCTGTGCGCACAGTCTTTAAATATGTCTGGTATTTATAGACTAGACAGTGCGAATTTATTTTGTAAACAGATCGTGTGTTAAGATTTGTTAATAAAATATGCTGCACATTGTCAAGAGTTGGACTTTTTATAAATACTGTGAAATCATTATGCATTACTTGGTTAAGTAGCCTATTCTAAAAGTGCTTGTCCACGGACAAGTGGTCCCTAAAATTTTTGTTGTCCGACCGTAAAAAGCACTTGTCCTGGGCGTCGGGCAAGTGCGTTCGCTCATGCCTGGTTGATTACAAGCTATATTTTCTCATGAGAAATATGGTCAAGAATAAACATTAAGATAAATTTTGGTAGATCTAGACTAAAACGGAATAATCTGATCAAAACACTACTAAAATACTATAACACTATTGCATTAAACGATCTGAGCAAACTAATCCTCCAGTTGCTTATACCATGACAAGAGATTGTTCAGGATATATTTAGGTATTCACACCCAATTCAATTGCGTAGCCTTCATTTAGGGAAATGTCAAACTGATCAAATTTTGAAGAGTTGGACATTTCCCCACCCATTTTATTCTATTGGCTAACATACCACCGAATGCTGTTTTTTTTTTTTGTTTTTTTTATTGATCAAAAAAGAAGCACACTATTAAAAATACAATAATTATTATACAGAGTCATAGTTATCTGTCGATGATGGAGCATTGTTCAATTTGGGCCTAATGAAACTTCATGTAGGCCTATTTTAATTAAATAAAAAAATGAACAAACCAAGGATATAAAAAAAAGTATATGGTTTAATAATCACACACCAAACTAAATATACATGTATGGCTTACTTGCAGACAATACATACACGCATGCATACATACTTACATATGCATACCACACATCTATAAAGACATCATACGCTAATTAGGTGTGCTTCACACATATTTTACAGCAAGGAATTGTAGGAATTGTTTATGTTTAAATTATAAATTTAACTTAATATCAAAGCAATCAATCCATTCATCCTTTCTTACACATAATGTGGCAAAAATGCTGAGAGTGAATTTTCTGAGAATGAAATGCTGTACAGTATCATTGTGGGTCGCAACGGGCCAGGTGGCAATGGGACTAGGGCGGCAACAAACCGGGTGGCAAAAGATCAGGTGGCAACGGACCTAAGTGGCAATGGGCCGGGTGGCAACAGGCTACTGTAGGTAAAAAAACGGGCCAGGTGGCGAGGGGCCAGGTGGCAACCAG